CATGCCAATCATAATGAATCAAATCTTTTCCTAAATGTATATGGATATAAATTAATTTTAGATTTTTAAAGGATGTAAGCATAGCTTTCAAGAGGTATTAAAATTTTCTAAATGCAAAGGTAATTATGTTAAGAAAAATTTAAGGTGTATGAATTCAAGGAGTTGTTAAGATTAATGAAGATTGCATTTTTAAGAATTGGTGGCTAGCCACAAAAAATTAGAAGCATATTGAATTGGTTAAATGAATAGAGACTTAAAGGAAAATTTTAACTTCAAATTACCCACCTATTCGCGCCCCATTTTGGTTTGAATGAAACACCTCTTCACATTTGCCTTTTCAATACTCCATTTCCACAACTTATGCTCAGGAAAACATAGCGAGGAAATGTAAAAATGAACCAAGCAAATAAAAAGGACATATATGAAGATGTCTTATAGAAAACAGTATCTGAAACATGAAGTGCAGAACATTGGTCCAAAATAAATCAAATTGTATTCAACCCAAGTAAATATATGAGGAAATCTTTATAAAATACTTTCATATATAAATCAAAAGATAAAATCAAATTTAAATTGTTTTTAGTTCAAAGAGATCTCCCACGACTACATACCTTCATAGTCAATAACATCTTGGAGGATATTTAGAAAAACACACGATAAGAGAATTTATGCTTGCTTTATATTATTCTGTATAAATAGGATGTGAAGGTTGTTTTTATCATCTCAGTAGGAATAACCTCCATGTATCAAAATAGATCTAGATTATCAAGCAGTCGATGAACCATTGTAACCCAACATGTAGCACTTCCCTCAACATGAATGGTCTACAAGACGAGTACAATTTACTCAATAAAAGAGAATAAAAAGGGCCCAAAGAGGGTAGTCAACAGTAGGTCAAAAAAACTCATATATAGGTAGAAATAAAATAGATCAGGATTCCATGAATCTATCATTATACAAAATTAAGATTTTATAAATCTACTTGGTCGTGAATATGGTTGACCCAACCCGATAAATAATCACTTGTCCGCAATCTATGTGTTGCATTGCCGAAGGTGGCTTAACAGCCTTAAAGTTAGAGGAAGAAATGTCTAAGTCTCCTAAGAATCTAACTAAATTTAAACGACGGAGTAGGCCTTATACCCATCAAGAGTATGATGAGAAGCCTACAACAACAACAAGCCTTTATTCCGCTAAGTGGGGTCGGCTGCAATATTCCTTCTTCTCCATTGCTTCTTATTGAGTGTCATATTTTCATTTAATTCTAATATATTAAGATCATTTTTTATACAATTTAGCCAAACCTTTTTAGGTCTATCTTTATCTTTCTTAACATAAACCGAGTTTAAAACATGTGCTCTCCTAACAGGATCAACAAACGGTTGACGTTTAATTTAATCAAACCATCTAAGATGACTCTCTCTAATCTTGTCTGCCATTGGAGCTACCCCAACCCTAACACAGATATATTCATTTCACATTTTGTCTCTAAGTGTCAAGCCACTCATCCACCCATGCATGCTCATTTCAACAACGCTTTACTTTGTTTTATGCTTCCCTTTTAAAGGCCAACATTCTGTGTCATAGAGCATTGCAGGTCTCACTACCATCTTATAAAATTTTCCTTTCAATTTGAGCAGTACTTTTTTATCACACAATAGGACCGATACATTCCTCCACGTCAACCAACCAACTTGAATTCTACTAATAATATCCCATATATTTCACCGCCACTTAAAAATATAGACCCAAGATATCTAAAAAAATCACACATTTTAGTGATTTGATCACCCGTAGTAACAACTCTGCCACTGGACCAACTACTACTAAAATTACATTCCACATACTAAAATTACATTCCACATATACTAAAATTACATTCCACATATTCAGTTTTAGATATACTCAAATGAAGGCCTTTAGACTTCAATGTAGACTTCCATAATTCAAGTATTTCCTGAACTATTTCTCTAGTTTTATCCACAAAAAAAAGATATCATCAATGAAAAGCATACACTAAGGTACATTTTCTTGTAAATGTACAGTAAGAGCATCCATAATTAAAGCAAAAAAGATGCGGCTTAAAGTCAATCCCTAATGTAATTCAACTAAAATAGGAAAATAATTAGTCAATCCTCATGTTTGAACGCAAGTAATAGCTCTAGTATACATAGATTTAATGACTTGAATTAAGTCATATCAATACCTTTCTTCTCAAGAACTACACAGATCTTCTCTTGAAACCTTATCATAAGTTTTTTCTAAATCAATAAAAGCCATATATAGATATTCCTTATTCTCTCAGTACTTTTCTATCAAACCTCTCAATAAATGTATAACATCCATAGTAGACTTGTCCGACAAAAATCCAAACTGATTATGAGAAATCTTTATATCATGCCTTGATCTATGCTCAATTATCCTCTTCCATAATTTAAAAATAATTGCCACACTCCTATGCATCCCCTTTATTCATAAAAATAGAGACTAAAATACTCATCTTCCACTCATGCACCCTTTTAGTTCTTAAAACAATGTTAAAGAGTTTAGTAAGCCAAGAAACTCCAAAATCTCCTAAAAATTTCCACACTTCAATTCGGAGATCATCAGATCCTACCATAATTTGCACACTTCTGTGATGATAAAAATAAAATATTTTATTTTTATTAATGTTATTAAGATCACTAAGGTTGATCAAAATTTTTAAAAAAAATTATTGAAGTTTATCAAATAGCTCATCCACCTATGAATATCTTCTTCTAAGAAAATCACTTTTTGATTTTCATTTTCAATACACTTTACTTGAATTAAATATTTACTTTATTTTCTCTTTGTTTGGCTAGTTTATACATATGATTTTCACCCTCTTTAATATCAAATCAATTATAAAGATCACTAAAAATATAACTTTTAGCATCACAAATTGTTTTCCTAGACTTCCTATGATACACCTTATATTTTTTTCCAATTTTTCAAGTTTTTACATTTAAATCAATTTATGATGAGGAAGCCTATTGAGTAAAAATAAGAAAGCTACAAAGTCGAATCAGCCCATAAAGGACTCGTGATCCTGTTTGAGACAAGACTATCTTTAGCAACCTAAACTAGTTAGGCAAAAACTCCTAAGCATATAAATATGTGTTTGGGAGTCAGGTCAGGCAAGTGATAACACTTTCTTTGAAACATGCAATATGAATGCGGAGGTTCTATTAACATGCTTGACAGATATATTCATGCAATTATGATATTTTAAAATTGGTCCGAGAGGCATGTAGAAAAAGAAAGTGCAAAAAATAAAATTATTTATTTTAAAATCTCGTAAATATTTTAGTTAAAATTTTATGGTAAAGATTTTATCCTAGAGAGCTTGGTTGTAATCATACTCACATAAATCACTAGCAATTAAAGGCAAAAATTGCAACACAATGCACAAAATAAATAAATCAAATAAATAAATATATATAAAAAAGTATGGATGCCGCTGGATCGATACATGAACATTTGCTTTTGGTCCTCACCATACGATTCTTGTGCATCTTGTTTCTTGAAACTCATGCTCGTACCTTATTTTTATACATACCTTCTTAAGGAATCTAACAAATACATAAAAAAAAAATCAAAAAGAAAGATTTGACCTACAAAACAAAGGTTAATATAAGCATGCAACAAATAACGAGTTCAAGTTTTGTGGGAGGAAAGCTAAATGGCGCGTGCGGAAAGGGCATCAAGTTGACTTAATAATTATGCCCTCCCTGTTGGACTTAGTTAACTACAAGAAGATTGCGCTAATATGATAGTGCACAAGTGCAAAACTTGATAAACACACAAAACAACATAGAAAATTCGATGGCTAGCAAACACGTCAAACAATACCTATGGATATTAAAATCATAATTATACCCTAACCATGGTTTTAAAACATATATCTACACGATGTTTGCCTACACATACTTCTAATAAATGGTCATGCATTGAATGGGCCAAAGAGCTTTCCTGTAGGATCTTCACGAGCTAGCTCCATCACGAGCATCTGAATGAGCAAACACTCGTCATAATTGGGCCAAAGAGCTTTCCTGTAGGATCTTCACGAGCATCTGAATGAGCAAACACTCGTCATAACAAGTGATGAATGTTGACCCAAACCGATTCTTAAAACAATTCTATAAGCTCTAGTAATAAAACTAGATAAACTAGCCTGCAATGTTCATTTTTCGATTATCACCACAAGTTAACTAATAGATTAGCTAAAGCCTTGCCACCAATGTGCTAACATATACAAGCTAGACCTACAGCATAGGCTTTACCACTCTCTGCATAAAAATGCAGTTAAGGGAACAAGGGAATAGACCCCAAAGACACAACTTAATAAGCTCAACATGCCAAAGAAAATGCAAAAAATGCATCATGTAAGTGGTGAATTCAACAAATGCGAACTCGCAATCGAAAATGCAATAGGTTATACAACAAGTATAAAATGAGACCCTAAATCAAAAGGATAGCACCACGAGATCCGATAGAAAATCTCGAGGTACACAACATGTCAAAGATCGACCAAAAAAAACCCTCCAAAGCAAACATTCATCACATCTGAAAGACCAACAGAACAAATAAATAGGAATTGAAAAAAATAATGAAAAAAAAAACAATCATTCTGAAGTAAGAAATTTGGCACTCTAATGACATCGTGTTAGTGAAAAACATAATCATATTCAAGAAACACCATTTTAGCTGGCGAATTGAAAATCTACATTTCAAAACTTGTATAAATTTGAAAAGAGACTATTCCTGAAAGAAAACTATTTGCAAAAAATACGCATGGGCTTCAACTTAAATTTAAGAATAAAGAAAGGAAAATGATGAAAATAAAGCTTCCATCAGCCTAAAGCCTCCCCAATAGCTCTATCCATACTGGCGTCCCTTCTGAAAGAAAGCAAATTGCAGCAAGACAATTGCCTTTTGTCCTTGTGCTAATTAGATTCCGTGCAGTCTCTCATGCAATATCATGAAATTAATTTAATAGAAGAACTGCTTCATGCTCAACAAGAAGATCTACATTGGAAGAATAAAGCATCAGAAATCACTACAACATTTCAGTTAACTATTTTTTCATTGTTTTCCTCCCTGATTTCTTCCAGCTCCTTCTGCCCGGCACGAATGAGACCTTTAACGATATCAAAGGTTGTTAGCCTAATGCTGCACAAAGAAAGGAAACCAAATATCACGCCCCTTTATATATCTAGTAATGAACACAGCAAGCTGCAATGTGGCCAACAATATCAAAAAAATAAGCTACTATATACATAAATACATACATACATACATATATATATATACATCTCATTTCAAAAATTATATCAGAGCCTATTTCTAGCTAATCAAAAGTCGACGGCCATAGAAGGCCCTAAAAGGATCAAACAAAGATGCAGAAAAGATGGGATCTTCTTCCACCTTAACATGTTATCCCATCAATGTGGGAGTCTCCATGGAGCACTCAACATTTCAAATCACATCCTACAAACTTTGATAGAAGAAATTCTTCCAATGGTCATGCTCAAATCAAATGGTATTGAGAGGATGAGAAAATGTTGGGTATATGAATGATAGATGTCAACCTAAAGGAGGCAACCCTTAACCAATTCTAAGGAAAAACCTATTAAATCCCTATATTTGGTCTAACACGCTGCTCGAGCAATTTTTGAAAAATTCAATATGGCATATCCAAATCATGAAAATTTTCTCAATTATGTGAATGAGAGATCATGCTCATAATCTCAAAAAAGAAGCATATGTGCAACTGAATACTCCACCATACAATAATATAGTAAGAACTAAACATAATAGTGCTAAATGATTAGTGTGAGGAGTGTGCGGGTAAATACATCAAACTTGGGAAAAAACAAGATAGATAGATAGATAGATAGAGATATATATACCAGCTGCCGCCCAATGCCAAAAAAGAGAATAAATACTAATTAGCTTCTACAGAACTAGAAGTTTTCTCTAATCTAGCACATGAATGGCAGGTTGGGGCCGGCGGTTTCCTGTACCTAGACTAGCACAGTTAAAAGCAACCAGCGGATCTTCCTCCCATGGAAAAAACATCTGGCGGATCTTCCCAGATGGAAATTTTACATATTTCGTCCACATGGCATGATGCAATTTGGGACGGAATGAAAGGCGGTTGGCATGGGTTTGTTAAGGGAATAATTACAAGGGATTATATCAATTGTACTGAGTACTTTCTTTCAAATAAATCTATTGTAATATTTTAGATTTACATTCTGACAAGGATGTATTAACTTTGTCCCGATTTTTAACCTTTATAACCCTCTATTTATAAGGCTATGTTTTGGTCAAAGCAAGCATTCCGACACTTGAACTCTATTCTTCTACTTTACATCTCATTTCAAAAATTATATCAGAGCCTATTTCTAGCTAATCAAAAGTCGACGGCCATAGAAGGCCCTAAAAGGATCAAACAAAGATGCAGAAAAGATGGGATCTTCTTCCACCTTAACATGTTATCCCATCAATGTGGGAGTCTCCATGGAGCACTCAACATTTCAAATCACATCCTACAAACTTTGATAGAAGAAATTCTTCCAATGGTCATGCTCAAATCAAATGGTATTGAGAGGATGAGAAAATGTTGGGTATATGAATGATAGATGTCAACCTAAAGGAGGCAACCCTTAACCAATTCTAAGGAAAAACCTATTAAATCCCTATATTTGGTCTAACACGCTGCTCGAGCAATTTTTGAAAAATTCAATATGGCATATCCAAATCATGAAAATTTTCTCAATTATGTGAATGAGAGATCATGCTCATAATCTCAAAAAAGAAGCATATGTGCAACTGAATACTCCACCATACAATAATATAGTAAGAACTAAACATAATAGTGCTAAATGATTAGTGTGAGGAGTGTGCGGGTAAATACATCAAACTTGGGAAAAAACAAACAATAACCTGCAATTTTCTTGAAGGCCTTGACAAAAAATCTAGAGTAAGTTCGTGGAAGAGTCCTAGGGATTCATTTACTAACTTAAGCCGAAGGGTCCGTTTGGGGTAGCTTATTTGGGTGCGGCGGTGTTTTCAAAACGCCGCCGCAGTGTTTGGAAGAAGCATTCGGTCAGCTTATCCATGCCGCACTGCGTCCGCGTCCGCGTCCAAGAATTCCTTAAGGGTCTTCGACCTGGGTAAAGACCTGTGTCCCGCGTTCAGCTTGTATGTTGCCATAAATACCCCTGATCTCCCTTGCGATCCCTATCCTCTCTTCCATCTTCCGCCCCCGCTACGTTGTCCGCCGAAGTTTCCATTGACACCACCAAAGAAGATGCTTCAGCAACCAAGCAGCCTAACCCGCCTAGCCGCGGCGGAAGCTGAAGCCTACCTCTGCTTGCGAGAAGAAGATGGTGCTTCCAGCCAGAGTATGCTGACGTTGCTGATCTCCGGAGGGGTGGCCGAAGAGAAAAAATTGAGAATGCGCGAAGGGAAGGAGAAGACGGCGGAGTAATTAGGTGAGCGAGGGGAGAGAATCAGTTAGATAGTATGGATGAAAAAAGAGGAATTTTTTAGCCCTTTTTTCTTTCGTCTTTGTAGCCTCTTTCACTATCGGTGCAGGTTATTGTCCTTTTTTTTAATTATTAGCGCAAAACATTCGATTAGAAATTATAAAATTTATTTAAAATAAATTTATTATAAATTTTAATAATTTTTACAATATATTCATTAAAAGATGTTTTTAGTAAAATTAAGATTAAAAATGTAGATACACCTCATCCTTGACCCCTTCTATTTTTGATACCTAAAAGATTTTTGTATCCTATATTAAACTTTGAGATGGATTGTGCATTTTATCTTGGCACTATGACATGAAAATATAATGATCTGAAAGAAAACAAAAATATTCCACCTAAATGAACTGATCTGTAATGATTTACGCGTTCTGTTTTATCTATTTTTGTGTTCATACAGTTTTGTTGCAAACAGCTTAACCAAACAAGGGCAGAATGATCATTTATTCAACAATAGCTGCTAGTATGTTGTTCTGAATAAGCTGCCCCAAACAGCAAACCAACTTATTATGATAATCTGCAGATTATCAGATTATCAGACTTATCAACAGATTATAAATAATCAACAGCTGCCCCAAACAGACCTGAAGTATTCACTGATGTTCGAGGAGAAGAAATTTGAGAAAGGACAATTATTTTAGATACCAAGAACCTTAATCAAAGAAAAATTAGGAAATGACATGGAGGGGAAAAATAGGTAATATTTCAAGCGAAGTTTGTGACAAGACCAACTATAAGGAAATTGCAAGAAACTATATGGTAAGCTAATCTCTCTCATCTAGAAAATGAACACAACGATGTTCATGCTTATCAAACATAAAGCAAGAGGCTAACCATGAAAACCAATAACCATCTGGGTGACATTGTCCTAACAATACTTCTCTGAACAAAGAGGATTTGAATCTTCTCTACAATTTAGTCACTCCTAGAAAAAGCTCTAGCTCCTCTTCTAGCCCAAAAAGGTAACTTTCCTCTAGCTATTATGTATGGTAATAGAGATCAAGAATCCCAGAATATTGAATCTAGAGGTTCAACTGGCAAGCTATATTCACCTATTCTTATAGTCAATATAGTTGATCGATCTTTAAGGTATTATTAGAATGAGAAACATTAGAATTAACCCTGCCATGTCCAAACTATGTGTTACATAAATCTATCTTACAAACTCTAATCAGCAAGAAAAATATTGAGAAGAACAAAAGGACAGTTTCTCATCTAAATCTTGTGACCAAGCATCAGGGAAACAGATTATATGCTAGCAAGGTTGGAGGACAATATGACTTCGATGGAAAATCCAAAAAGCATAAAACATACCCTATCAACAGATAATCGTTCAACGTCCCAAGAAAAAGCAAATTATATTGTGACATTATAGAATTTTTTGTACATTAAAAACTTGTTTCTTCTTTGTTTGAAAATACAAATGTGTTTCAATATGAAATCTATTAACTTGTCAAACACCAAAGATCTATTTTTAAGTCATGCAAGACAGACCAAACCTTTCTTACCCATGCATAGTGATATTTGGGACACATCTGGATCTCAAAATATTTATTTCAAATGCTGGTTCGTTACTTTTTCTAGATGATCATACTTTTGTTTGCTATATTTGTTTTCAAACACATCACAATAAATAATCGAAACCATAAAAGATTATTCATCAAATATCTTGTCTCAATTCATTCAAGAAAAATAATAACCCAACCACATTCTAAGAGGATAGAGATGGCAAAATTCATTACATTCACCATTAATGCCCCAAAATTATTTTGGGGCATCTGCATATCTTGGTAACTACCTGTTTTAATTCAAAACATCTATTGAATTTTTTTTCAAATACTTATCAAATACTCATAATATTTCAAATCTACCCATAACTCCAAAAAGGGTTTATAGTGCATCGCCTTTATTCACAATATGAACTTAATAGGCATAAACTTGATCTGAAAACCTATATATATACCAATTACACTGCAGATAAAAAACGATATAAATGTTATTTTCTAAAAAAAAAAAAGTTATTGTCTATTGGTGTCAGTTTTTTTTTTAAAATATAAACTCATCTTCCAAAAAAATTCCTTCAAGTAGAAAAAGATAATTTTAATATTTGTTCCTCTTAAATTCTCTACCCCTCAAATACCACTAAATACATTAATTTTCCAAGACCAAACAATATTAGAATTACCAAAACTTCTATTCCCAGAGTCTCTCCCACCAACATACAAAACACTTAGTCCATAAATATTTCAAAAAATTCTCTTTTTACTCTCAAAAAAAGCATGGGGCAATTACACACAGATCACCCAAAACAATAATATTTACAATCAAGCACCCTCTTTCATCCATTTTACAAATTCTCACTCAAATATCAAAATTCATGATAAAACCTCAATACGTATTTTTCATTTTTATCAAAGTCTCAATAGTTTGATCGTGACATGCATAAATGCATCGGTTCGATAGTTCAAAAAATCACCTAGATGCTTAATTTGTAAATATCAATGTTTTGGGTGCTCTGCACGTAATTATCCAAAAAAGAATCATAAATAATTGAAATAAAACTACATCTTGAAGCTTGTAATGGATCTTACCAAGACTCCCGGGACTCGCAAACTCTTCTCCTATGTGATATTATTGAAGAATTAACCATTATATAAGGAAAACGTTTGTCTATGCTCAATACCGTATAGCAAAACATTTATTCTCCTCAATGATACTCTAATTTTCAACTTAGTAAAAAAGAACTTCCTAAAAACTACAAAAGAAAAAAAAACAAAATATAAGAGGTTGTAGAAGATGAAATGAGTATAAGAAATGAAACACGGAAATCATTAAAAAAACTAATAGTGTAATTTCTGCTAGGTGTAAAATGGGTCTATACTAACAAAGATTAATTAAATTAATTGATTAAAATATACAAAATAGGTTGGTCGCAAAAAAATTTACCCAAACTAAATGCATTGACCGCCGAAAAATTTACTTTCTTGTTGTTAAACTTAACATAATTTGGGTCCTCTTAATGGCAACCAATCTTAATTGATCTATTCACCAACTAGATGTCAAAAAATGTTCATGATTTCAATTAAAAAGTCTACATGAAAATTGGTCCACGGACTACTGACTTTAAAAAGATAAGTCAAATATGCAAGTTGAAAAAAAATCAGTTAGGCAACAAACAATCACCAAGAGCCAGTATCCACTAAAGTTGTGTATTCACGAGATTATTTAAATAGGCCCATCCTGATTACACATTGTTCCACAAATATATAGATGATAAGTCTACCACTGTAAATTGATGATATTTTATAATAGGTGAACATAATTTGAGAATATGAACCTTGAAGAAAAGGTCAATTCAGAAGTTTTAGAGTAGACAAAATCTTGGCCCTCTCAAATACTTTCTCGGAATAAAATTTGTGAGAAACAAATATAGACTCCTATATCTAAGAAAATCAAATATTCTTGATCTCTTAAGAGAAATAGACTTGACTCGAAGCAAACATGTTGATACTCCAACTGATCCTAAAATAAAATTAAGCAACTTTATCACTAGTAGTCAAATTTATATGGGAGGATATCAAAAATTGGTTGAAAATTTTATCTATTTATCTCATACCAAACCTAAGATTAATTGTGTTGTCGTTGTAAGTCAATCCATGCATAAAAAATAAGCAGAGTATAAGTATTGCCATAAGGATACTTAAGTACTCAAAAGAGAACCCAAGAAGGGGGTTATTTAAAAAATAATGAAACTAAAAAAAAAAGAGTGCATAATGATGCTGATTAATAGGCTCTATAGTTGATAGAGGATGCACATTGAGGTACTATATTTATGTACGGAGAAATCTTATAACTTGAATGATTTCTACAAATTAGCTTGAAGAGAAACATTGATTTTTTTTTTTTCATCACTAAAAAAACAAAGGATAATTGCTATTTCCGTTGTACCGCACTTCGAGTTTTCTATATATAGAGATATAGCACCTAAATGGCAGATTGATGTCAGCAATTTCTATCCCCTAAGTCGTCACAGTTGAGGTCAGTATGCTAGTTAATTTTTTTTCATATTGTGCAAGCCATTTAGCCCAGTGGTTTGATACTTTATATCCAGTTAATGAGATCTTGTATCAAAGCACCTAGCATATTTAGGTGTATGCATGACTTTAAAAAACAAAAAGTAAAAAATTAAGGATAGCAGATGAATTTTTCCCGCACGACAAAACCATTGGCAATTCCAACTATTTTCTCCACATGGCTAGCTATGGTTTGGCTAGAATGGCAGGCAGCTCGTGTGGGACTCTTTGGAGGCTAATTCCAAGGAATTCTATCAACTGAATTTATCAGTTTATTCAATTAAATACGCTGTAACATCTCATATTTCTTTTTTCTTACTAGGATGTGTTAGTTTATTCCTTGTTTTTCAACTTCGCAATACTCCATTTATAGGGCCAAATTTCGACCAATTAAATAAATTCCACCACTTTATGTCCTGCTCCTACACATCATTTTTCTATAAAATGCACACGGAATAAGTTTTACAAATTTTAGTTTTATGCAGCCAATGGATAAAAACATAAATTGAACTACTGAGTAAAAACTTGATACTAACTGGGTATACAAGAAATGAACCTGCTGTTTGGAAGACTTTTAAGTGCGTTAGGCAAAAATCCTCTATATAATCCAACAAATCCATCACGTTCCAAAATACCTGCATTACCAAGGTAGTTCCAAGTAGTACGTGTTATAAAAATCCAGCTTAAAGATATAGCAAAAATTACACTGTCAATTTGATACATAATACTTTAAACTTGTTCTAGCCTGAAGACTATACAAAAAAAATTAAAGGGGAGTAATACTTACCAATTCTTATAAATTTACACATCTAAAACCTAGAATTTAACATTTAAATATTTATAGACACACAAAAAACATTTTAGTGTTATGATAACAATCACGTCAAATAATATACCTAGAAAGGTGTATTTAACTTTTGAAATATATCAGTATTAGTGGTATTTTTTATGTGATGTTAAAAATTTTAAGTATCATATACAAAAATATTAAACTTTAGATGCTATATATCTATATATATATATATATATATATATATATATAAAACATTGTGTGAAATATATGTGTATCTCCTAAGAAAATCAAAATTTAAAGCTTCCTAGAGTACATATGCAAAAATAGTAGTTCTCATTTCATTCATGTGCAAGATGAACCAATTTCTCAATTTAGTTGTACGCATAATCTACATTTTTGGTAGTAAAAAACGTCTTCACACTCCCTTACGTGTACAGTCCACAGAAGCAGTCTGGACAACATTTTCAGTCCAGAGAGTAAGCTACATACGAGAGTGCACATGCAAACAAAGAAGCTGCAGGAGTCTAGAATCCTGGGTGAACCTGGCTCACACGTAATGTGACAAAACGGCCATGGGCACGTAACATTTTAAGTCCTTCATTTTTCGTTTGATGAAAGGCTTCCCTTATAGCATATTAAGCACTTTCACAGTAAAAAAAAATTGTAAAGGAGACTAAGCAATTAAAACGGGTTGCAGGAAATTACAATTCGAAGATGGCCTTCAGGAAGCTTCCTCCAATGGCCCTTATCCTAGCCATTATTTAATGGGAAAGTGATACACATGTCTTAGGTATTTTCATATCTAACACCTAAAGTTGATATTTATATTTATAACACTCATAACCTATGCATGAAAAAGCATATTTCTCTTTTAAAAAGTTTATAATAGAGGTATTTTTTATGTGATACTTGAGATTTGAGTGTTATGTATGTAAATGCCCCTAATTTAATTTATTCCCATTCTAATAAAAACTATCAATCATCCTATTTATTCCTAAAATGGGCATAGATAATAAACTAAAGAGACATTTTTGAAACCTTGTGCAACTTACAATGAATTGATATTTCTAAAGAAATTAAACAGTGATGCTTCACAATTTGATTTATATTATGATACAAATCAACTAGAAAAACCATATCTTACCAGGAAAAGCGTCAAAAATGGTATTGTAAGGTGAGCCTTTCATTTGCATCTGCCTTCTCACAGTATCAAGGGGATAACACATAAATGTGGCCACTGAGGCAGACACCATTGCAGTTATCAGAGATGACTCTGGCCTCTTCCTATCCTTCTCTGGAAGAGATTTCTTCATTCTATCAAAAAACATAGACAAAAAAATGCTTGGTAATTAGCCTGACATTGTGCAATCTCAATGAAATTTTCCGTGGAAACAGAAGAAAAACAGTCTCACAAGTCAAATATGCAGAAGTTTACAGCAATATAAGGTGCTATTCCAATGAGGGATGGGCCAAGACCACCATAAAATGAAGAAAAACCTTCTTCTCTTAACATGCTTAGGGCAATCTGTAAACAAGAAGCCGCATGACTACAAATTCTAAACAAGTAAACAGAAGAACAAATTTACCTGAGACATAGTTTGGGATCCAGTTTCAACTGCTAATCTTAGACGTAGCACATCAAGAGGATAGGTTAACTAAGAAAATAACAAATTTAAGATAATGTACAATGAATGCATAAATAATGCATCTTATGCAACAGGCATATTATACATCAAGTATTTGACGGGCATCAGAAAACTCACAAAGGTTGAGGTCATCCCAGCACAAGCACCGGCAAAAAGTCTACCAACAACAGAGAGCTCTCCATCCTTGTCGCTGAAAACTTTCTACAAATGAAAAACCAAATAACAAGATTCAAAATATGTTGGAAAAAAAAAAGCATAGACGTAAAAAGGGAAAAAGGGAACCATAAATATATAAAATAAAGAATTTTAACCTTATAAACTTCATATGAAAAAAGCTGCACTGCACTATATGGAATTATGCGCATAATCTGCCAAAATTAAATAAAATTCTGACATTTATGACGAAAAATTTAGAAGAACTAATCTTCAAAGAACGTTGAATGAAAAAACATTAGGAACCTGTGGGAGATTCCCTTTCCAATATCCCTTGACGCCTTCCTCCTTCCCAATAAGTTTAAAAGCCTGCAAATAGTTCAGAGGCTGAAGATGCACATGATGACATCATATGGTTGCATATATGATAAAAACACGAGCTCTGGCATCAAACTATTGTTTGTGCTATACTTTATTTCCGTTACAATAACATTCTATCAAAAATCTTTGGCATTAAAATGTTGCTTGTACAATTATTTTCCTATTGCACTAACAATCATAAACCATCCTCAGCAGCCCTTCATGATTCATGCGCTAGGTGACCATTTGTTCTAAATTTATTGAGCTTAAGACAGAAATATAAAAATTTTAAATCTTTAGGTGTTCGATTGCAAGAAGAATAAATACAAAGTAATATCTTTAAGAAATTAGAATACGCTCCCTCAGCTCATTTTTTGTTTCTATTTAATTTTCCCAAACCAGGAGAATTTAGAATATGAGCTCGCAATTCCTCCAAGCCCCAAAATCCTCTCTTCAGCAAAATCTGAAAAACCTAAGACCTGGTTGCTATGTTCGAACTACGCTCTATCCTCAGCTCCATGGCCCCCATCCTCACCTCCATGATCTCACATCAGCCCATGCCTCCATAAGGCACCAAACATGCCTCCATCGAACACTAACCTCACCTTGGACAACCCACACGTCAGCAAACTCTTGCTCACACCACCGTCACCATCATTGTTGTCCCCACAAACACACACACAGTTTTCTATATCATTGAAATTCATCAAAACAAACAGAACATATCATTCATCACATTTGATTTACATTCAAACAAACCATCATAAATTCAAAATACATTACATTTATTTCACTTTGCATTCCTTCTACTTTGTATTGTAAATACATTCGACCAAACAGCTCTTAAACGAACTGAGTGCTCCACCAAGCACCATAGAATTTCAGAGAAATTTTAGGCAGGCAAAGAACAACTATGGTCCGAGATGCCAAAAATGCTTAATACAAAACTATCTCCGGAGATGGATTGTAGATTATGACTTCAATCCGAAAGCTTAGTTTAATGGTCATCTCATGAACTCAGCCTTGAAGCTTAGTTTAACGGCAATATAATTCATGATAAGGCTATGCTTCTCATACCAAAGTCTACTTGAATAATACATCTTTTCCATGTGCATTTAAAACAAGAATCCCAAAAAAAAGTTACTTGAGCATTGAGCCAACCTAAATTTTTGATGTAGATGGTTCATTAAAAAAAAAATGATGTAAAGTATAAAAGAGCTATCACGACCCAGCCCAGTGCTTGGAATTAACCAAGACGGAAACAGACGGTCGGATGGTGAAAATTAAATTTTATATGTTCAGTTACTATTTGACAAATAAAAGAGCCACTAATTAAATTAAATTAAATCAGTATATTTAAATTTAACTTCTTACAGGTTGTCTGCGCCTTCTATAAACATTATCCTCTCTATCACTCATCTTTGAATCACTTAGTTAACCTGTAAAGTTAATTTAAAACAATGATAAACTAACCAAAGTCAATAAATACTTATACTTTTAAACTACAGTAATACAAGAAAAAAGAAAAGTAATATGTATGTCAGTTAAACTTTTATTAAATCAATATAAATAATTGATTTTATTCAAAAAATTTTACTATATCAATAGCATATCAATATTATTATATATATGTACAACCGTCATAAGATCAATGTCTAAAAATTGCACCACTTAAAGTACTATCAATATCTTTTTTTCAAATACGTGCACGGGTACCTATGTTCAGTTACTATTTGACAAATAAAAGAGCCACTAATAAAATTAAATTAAATCAGTATATTTAAATTTACCTTGTTACGGGTTGTCCGCGTCTTCTATAAACATTATCTTCTCTATCACTCATCTTTAAATTACTTAGTTAACTTGGAAAGTTAATTTAAAACAACGATGAACTAACCAAAGTCAGTAAATACTTATACTTTTAAATTACAGTAATACAAGAAAAAAAAAGTAATATGCATGTCAGTTAAATTTTTATTAAATCAATACAAATAATTGATGTTATTCAAAAAATCTCACTATATCAATAACATATCAACATTATTATATATCTGTACAACCGTCATAGGATCAATGTCTAAAAATTGTATCACTTAAAGTACTTTAATATCAATATCTTTTTTCATATACGTTCACGGGTACCTTAGCATTCCCCCACTGGTATCATTCTTTGTCATAGCCAAACATGTACATATAAGCACTATTAAAATCATTATTTACTAAAAGTATATTTCATTTCCATTAGAATATTAGATAATATAATTATAAATATTCAAATGATAATTTAAATAATAATAATTTAAATAATATTGTGCACACATATCATTCATACAATATGAACAAAAATTCATTAGAATTCAAAATCTAAAGTTTGCAGTAATTTCAATATAACTAATGATACTACTAATAAATACATTTGATCTAGAAGAAACAAAATATTACTATATTAATAAGAACATGAATACTCACATCGATGTTGATTAATTTATCTTGACGTCAACTCTTTTAAAATTGAAAACCTAACATGGTATAAAATTTAATTAATTTAGGATTTTAATAAATTAATAATTTTTCATTATTTAAGTATTAAATTTTATTATTTTATTTTATGTAACATAATTGTATATATATACATATTATTCAAAATATATGTATAACATTTATATTAAACAGTTTAATTAAAGTTATGAAAACTCACCTTTATAACCTTACATTCGATCGAGCCCTTTCGATCCAGCTCTAACCACACAAGAAGAAGCATGTCACGCGGAATCCATACGAAGCTGTCCTCACCCAAGAGTTCCTTCTTCGACTCCCTACTTTTCGTGCACTACAACTTCAATTTCGAGTCACCCAGTAGCTTACAATATCCCCTCTTCCTCTTGCATTGAGTGCTCAAACTTAATCTGCCACCTCTTCCCATGATCCCCTGCAAAGATTGCTTAGGGCTTCGTTGGCTTCCTTCTTCCTCTTGCACGAGTCTTTGGACATTGACACCTCGTTCCTCCTTCAACGACGTTCCCTCCGGCAGGAGCTCTCGACGTCAACACCTCCTTCCTCAGCTGCGTCACCCTTGCTACTGCCAAACTACCGTAGGCGACACTGCGTCTTTTTTTGACCTAGCTTGTGCTCGCTTCTCATACTCGCCAATCTCCAATCGCTTGGTAACTCTCACCAACGTCGCGACGTTTTTATAGGGCGAACTCGACTCCTAAGCTTCTCCTAAGCTTCTGAACCCTTCATTCCAACCCCCCCCCCCTCTTTGGCTTCCCAACACTTTGTTTCCTCTGCTTCGATCCTTAGTTTATTCTCCCGGGTAACTAAAATCAGGCGTTACAAGAGCTATCTTACAAACAAGAGGAAAGAATGACTAACCCAATGTTACGATCAGCATAAAGTGGAACTACGTCCAAATTCAACATGCACAATAAAAATTATATATAATTTTACATGATAACATATCAAAAGACAAAAACAACCATTGATATTCCAAGATCCTAAAAAATCAATCATGATATAATAGCTTGTATCTGAAATTCAAACAAAAAAGTATGATGTCAAGAAAACCCAAAAGGCTAAATACCACACAAAGAAATTTCTTTCTTCAGCTCTTAATATGAAATTAGAACATCATGTTTGGTAGAATATTCTTATTATAAAATATAACTGCCTTCATGTATGTTAAGAACTATGCTAGCCAAAATAGTTCAAGTCATACTCATATAATAGGTGCCCATTGCATTGACAAAGCAAATATTCTATAGGTCCTTTTAGTTCTAGCACAAGTGAATGTTTCATCTGGATAGAGAAATGCTTGCTAATACTCATCATCAAGCTAAATCTTTACTTGGAAATAACACAAGGCTAATATCTTTTCAATCTCTAGCAATGTTGCATAATTATGCAATGCAATTATAATTCCGATACTCTGCAAAAGCACTCTTTAAATCAGATTCCTTAAGTCCTTTTCTCAATGTGTTCTAGGATGCCTCAGCTTATAAACAATCTTGGCTCCCTAAAAAATAACATTTTGCCTTTGGTCCCTCTCCTGTATGATATAGACTTATTACAACTTACCTTTTCAGTTCTATAAACTCACAAGGCGTGATGTCACTGCCTAAAAAATTGTATTAACATTTTTTGGAAGGAAATTTGAACCCACAAGGGCTATTTATTTTTGTTAACATTGTAATGTTATGCAGTGTTATTAGAGCATGTCAGTTATCTGTTTTGCTAACATCTTCAGGAAATAATTTAAAAAGAAAAAATTTAAATCCAAATTTGGTGACATCAAGTCATCATCTAAAATTGGACAACAACTAAATGCCACAGCATCTTCTATTAAGACAATTAAAAGCCTCAAGTCCCATACTCTGCTTTTCTCTACATTGACTAATGCTTTATTCTTCTCCAACATGTGATTCTACTCCAGAGTCCATCTCCCTCACCGCATGTCCTCTTCATCAAGCAACGCCTAGCATCGGGTCTTCCTTGCCGCTTCTCAACTCTACTAATTCTCATCTTGCATCTGTCTCCCTTTCTCCTTCATCTACAACATCCAATTTACCATTGCATATATTTATGAAGGTGCTAAAAAAAATCTTCCTCTAGAAGGTATGTTTAATTGGTATTTCTTTTTCTTTTTGGCTTCACATACTTGAAAGAATACTTCAACATCATTTTTCTAAGAGAACGGTTTGAGTTCTTTATCATACAAGCCTTATAAAGAATAAAATTGTTTTATAAGGCAAACGTAAAGGGGCAATCCCACTGTAGGCAAACTGGAGTGCCCTAAATCAAAAAATTATAATTTTGAAAATACTTACATCTTTGAATGCAACAACATTGAAGCAAAATTGTGAACATGCTAACATCTAATAAAGTTGGCACGATGTCTTAACAGCATTGATGCATAAATACACTAAGCCAAACCATGGTAAGGAAGAATCACAAAATCCTAGCCCGCAAATTAATGAATTGCTTTCAAACTAAGAAATGAAATCCCAACAATTTATGACTTCGTTATGATTATAAAACCACTAATTTAAGATTTTCAAAATTTTTCATTTCCTTTCATTCAAATTCCTAGCATCCAACACCCTACCACTAAATCATGAATTTTCTTATAAAATCAATCAATTAAATGTCATAAATTAGTTAAGTACCTCAAGAAAAGTAATCTCCTTCCTCCCACTTTCTTCTCCTACGCGTAACGCGTGAGTCTAACAAAAATAAAATAAAAAATTAATTAAAACCATAAGGTATGGCTGCAAATGATAAGACAAACAGGGCGCCAATTCGAGTATTAAAAAAGCTTGATTGATTAAAAGGGAATGGAAAGACTATAGCCTGCATGAGAAGCTTGATGCGGTCGAGAGGGGCGGTCAGGCTTTTAGCAGCGGCTCCTGCAAGGGCACCGGCGGTGAAGAGGGCTACGCCGTTGGGCACCAAAGCTAGCAGTGCAAGGGGATGCCTCAGAAGCTGTTCCGGCGACACCAGGGCAACCTTCTCTCCGTTAC